GAAGATAGTTGGGCGTGGTGGCACATGCCTTTAATCCCAGCACTCAGGAGGCAGAGGCAGGCAGATCTCTGTGAGTTCAAGGCCAGCCTGGTCTACATAGTGAGTTCCAGGACAGCTGGGGCTACAGAGAGACCCTATCTCAAAAAGAACAAAAAGAAAAAAAGGTGGATGATGGAAAGCAAATGGGAAATTATAAGTGTTGTTATTGTTTTGATTTTGGAGACAGGGTCTTGCTCTAACCCAGGCTGGCTCAGAACTTACCATCTTCTTGCCTCAACCTCCTGAATGTTGGATTACAGGTATGGGCTACCATCTCCAGCCTGGAATGTGTTAGGAACATTAGAAGTATTTCTGAGCCAGGTGCGGTGTTGCATACCTGTAATCTCAGCACTTAGGAGGTGGAAGTTGGAGGGTCAGAAATTTGAGCCCAGCCTGGGTACGTGAGATATTGTCCTAAAAGCTGAAGGAAAAAAAAGATCTTCTGGTTAGGGTCAGCTCATGCTTTTCAACCTAGTGGAAAATGTCTTTAGAGGAAAGCAGTCTTGATCTGTAATATGCTTTGAGTTTGATTATAAATTAATGTCTCTAGAATTATGAAACTGATTATTCTAATAGAGCCAATGGGACCCCCCCAGACTTTAGGGGGTCTTTTTGTCTGCCTTCCTCTCCCCTTCCCTTCTTTCCCTCTCTTGTTGAACTAGGCTCTCTTTGAATTTGATATATAGCTGAAGATGACCTTGAACTCCTGGTCTTACTGTGTCTACCTCACAAATACGGGGATTGCAGACCTGTGCCACCATGCTGGCAATTAGAAGACATTTTTGCAGCATATTTTACTGGTGTCGCAAAGAAAATTGTGACTCCCTTCATGTTTTGCCTTCATATTTTCAAGTTTGAAAAGATTCAGCAGCTGACTGGTGCTCCTCACACGCCTGTCCCCACCCCAGACTTCTTGTTTGAAATTGAGTACTTTGACCCAGCCAATGCCAAATTTTATGAGACCAAAGGAGAACGAGACCTAATCTACGCCTTCCATGGTAGCCGCCTAGAAAACTTTCATTCCATCATCCACAATGGCCTGCACTGCCACCTGAACAAGGTGGGCTGGGGCACCTTGCTGATATTGTGGACCATGGTGGGGTGGGGGAGGTGCTTGGTGGAGAGTGGAATATGAGTGGGTGGGATTACTGAGGCCATGGCATTCAGAGAGTGGTTCACAAACTACTACCAACACCATAATCTGGGGAACCTGGGAAAATGCAAAATTGTAACCCACATTTGACCTTCTGAATCTTGAGACCACTTACATTTAAAATATTTTTCTAACAATTTATTTATATATTTTTTATGTATATGAATGTTTGCCTACATGCATGTAAGTGCACCTGTGTTGTGCAATGCCCAAAGAGACCAGAAGAGAGCAACAGATCCTTGGAGCTAGAGTTATGGACAGTTATTAGCCACCATGTAGGTGCCGGCAACTGAATCTGAGTCCCTGCAAGAGCAGCCAGTGCTCTTAACTGCTGAGCCATCTCTCCAACCCCAGAACCCACACTTTAATAAGCTCCCCCAGTGACCCATTAGCACACTGAACTTTGAGAAATACATCAAGAGGAGGAGGTCCTTTCCTCCCTTCCTGAACTGTTTTTCCCCTCAGTCTTAGGACTCAGTTGTATCAACCACCCCCTCTCTGCTAGTACTTATTCTCCCCCTCAGGAAGGTGTAGGAGGAAGATCATAGATGGGGGCTGAACAGACTTGGCAGCTCTGGGCAAAGGGACTTAAGCTGTGTGAGCCTCAGTTTCCCCTTCTATAGCTCAGGTGTCCATGACCCTCTTAGCATATGAGAAGATTGGAATGGCTTGAGTGTACAAAGGCTTCTCTATGTACTAAGCACTAATGGAAGCAGTAGCTGCTCTTATAGGCCAGTGGAGAGTGCATCTGAGGTAGTGGGGGGTGCAGTGGGCTGTTGTCCCCTGGTGGAGCAGTGTCTGCCTTGTCTGGAATGGGTTGATATAGCCCCGAGGCTAGAGAAGCCTGTTCCAACCCTGTTGTGTCTGATCAGTGCTGATGGGTTTTGCTGGGGATGGCCGGCTTGTTTATGCTGGTTCTTAGCTTTCTGTGATAGCCAGGCTGCTGGAATCCAGGGGCCTCCACCTTACCCTGGAGCCTGCCTGGAGAAGTTGCCTGAAGTTATTGTCTCCTACACCATCATTCTAGTGCCCAGACAGTTTGCTGTTTAGGCACATCTAGAAGATCTTTAGTAAATGGAATCAATCCCTGGCCTCCCCTGCTTGGGTTTTCAGTGAGTGGCTTGCTTGTGAAAGCCTGTGTATTAGGAGAACCTGTGAGATTGTTTTCGTGGTGGAGCGACCTAAGCTTCTCTTGTGCCCCCTTCTCTCAGCAGCCTGCTTCAAAGTTTTGAGTCTTGGGAAGGGAGAATACACCAAGGTCTTAAGTAAAGAACTGATGTCAGGGGCCTGTGAAATGGCTCAGAAGTTAATAATGATAGCTTGCTGCCAAGCCTGATGACCTAAGTTTGATTCCCAGGACCCACATGATGGAAGGAGAGAGCCAACTCCCACAAGTTGTCTTCTGACTTCCATACATATGCATCCATGTGCATGCACGTGCGCGCACATACACGTATACTTAATTTTTTTTTAAAGAGAATTTTGATGTGGGATCTTTTCAGAGGATAGCCATTGTTCCTGAAGAAGGCCTGTGTCAACTCTTGAGAACTGAAGACACTGTATTACATGGCAAGGGAGCTTTTCAAAGGCCAAGCATAGGTTTGCTTCATTTGCCCCAAGTTTTACTTAGGAAGGGAACCAACTTAACACCCTTCACCAAGAAGCTGCAGTATAGATTCTTGGACATTTTTTTTTAGCACACACCAACACAAAGTAAAACTTAACCCTGCCCCTCATGTCTCGGTCTCTCATTTGGTCCCAGTGTCTGGTCTAAGAGACTTGTTTCTTTTCCAAGTAATGATTCAGATTACCCTCTAGGGGTGACCCCCTCACTATACAGAGGGTGTAACTTTGCCTTTGCAAGCTCATCATTGTAGTTATGCTTAGTGCATTAATATAACAGGAATTACTCTGTTCGTTACAACAGAAGCATCTGTAATGGAGTGCCCACCCATGGCCACCACTGTCATGTGCCAGGCATCCTGCTCAATGTGTTTTGCTAGGCAAGAAACTGAGCTGTATCCCAAGCCCTATATTGTGTCTTTTAATCCTGGTCCATAAGCTTATGGAGGTGGTGCTGTTATCACCATTTTGTGGATGCAGAAACTGAGACACAGAATTTATGTAATTCACTGGAACATTGAAACTGAAGTCTGTTTGGACTCTCATATCTTTGTTTTTTTTTTCCACTTAGCCTTGATCACAAGATACTGCTGGTTTGCCAGGTTAGGTGGCCAAATCCACAGTCACTTAAAGTGGTGTCAGATGGGAATGTGTTTAGCAATAAGCCCTATAATGATATCATAGGTTATTTGATCCTATTGTCTTACCAGGGATGGGGGAGAAAAGCGTGAAAATTTTTGTGTTTACAACTCTGTTGAAGATAGGCATATGTCATCTTGTGGTTTGAACTCTCTACTCACTTCTTTTCTGTTGGCCTCTACCATTCTAGACATCCTTATTTGGCGAGGGGACCTACCTCACGAGCGACTTGAGCCTGGCCCTCATTTATAGTCCCCACGGCCATGGGTGGCAGCACAGCCTCCTTGGCCCCATCCTTAGCTGTGTGGCTGTGTGTGAGGTCATCGATCATCCAGATGTCAAGTGCCAAACCAAGAAGAAGGGTGAGTGAGTACTTGGCCCAGGCCTGGCTGCAGGTGCTTTCTGTTGGCCCAGGTATCTGGTGGAGGCCTGTTGCATGCTTAGGGATAGAGCAGTGCAGGATAGAGGCTGGCCTTCAAGGAGGGAGATGTCTGCTCAGAGATTGAACAGTTGATGGGAAAAGATCACTGGGAGTCCCAGGTGAGGAGCTGACACAGGAGGGGATGAAGATGAGAGGAAGGCACCACTGTGGTGGGTCCAAGTGGTCAGGGAAGGAGGCAAGATTTGACGAATGGAGGCTGGAGAAATAGATGGCTCAGCCGGTAAGAGCACTTGCTGCTTTTCCAGAGGACCTGAGTTTGTTTCCCATTATCCATGTTGGGCAGCTCACAACTGCCTGTAACTCCAGCTTCAAGGAATCTGACTCCCTCTTCTGCCTCTGCAGGCACTTACACACATGTGGCATTTACTCACATAGACATACACACATTAAAAAAATAAAAAGTTGACAAATGGAAGCACATATGTGAGGTGAGGGCATGATTCCTTGAGGGCTGGAGCTTAATCTTACTTATTCCTGGGTACCTGGCATCAGCAGAGAACCTGGTGTGTACTTGACATCCAATGAGTGTTTGTACAACAAAAGCTAAGGATACTGGGTCCAGACGCTTTGAGCTCCAGTGGCATGTGCTGGAGCCCCCAGGGACTAGGGCATCCGAGGCCATGGACAGCAAGTCCCGGGTTCTTTGGGGAACAGATAACTAGCGGTCAACTTCATTTCTATTGCACTGAGGTGTCCCTTAGACTGTGTGCCCTGTGTCTGCTGCTGGGCCACCCTCCTCCAAGGCAAAGTCATAGGACTGTCTTTCCAGTTTCCAGACTGGCCTGTAGGCTCTATTAAAAAGAGGAGAATTCAGGAAATGGACTGTTCTGGCCTCTAATGTGAAACAACTGGATCCTGAGGAACAGACCCAGGTCTGATTCTACCCTCCCAACCAGACAGCACGAATGTTCGAATTTGTAATTCTTAGCAAGTTTGCACACAGTGACATTGAACATCAAAACAAAACCTTTCAGTCTCTGTGGCCACAAAGCTTTAGCTTTTGTTTGGTAAAGCCTTTTCATGTTATTGAAAGGAAAGGGTTTTTCTTTTTTCTTTCTAAGTTGGGCTGGAGATACAGTTTAGTGGTAGAGTATTTGTCTAGCATGTGCAGGGCCCTGTGTTCGTCCCCAGCACCACACACACACACACATGCACGCACGCACACACAGATGCATTCCTTGGCCTACTGAGCCTTCTGTGCCTTGGGATCACCAGGAATCTTGACTCATTCCTATTCGTAACTTGCTTCTTTAGTTATTGTATTCTCCCTGGTCCTCCTACCCCATAAAGTATGCTTTACTGTCCTTCAGATTCCAAGGAGATTGACCGCAGCAGAGCAAGAATCAAGCATAGTGAAGGGGGAGACATCCCTCCTAAGTACTTTGTGGTCACCAATAACCAGCTTCTGCGAGTGAAATACCTGCTGGTGTATTCGCAGAAGCAGCCTAAGAGGTAAGAAGATATCCCTGTGTAAAGGCCATGAGATGGCTGAGTTCAGGCTTGGTAAAGTGCTTTATGTGCATGAAGTGCTGTGCTGGAGGAGTGGGAGTCAAAGATATGGCCCTGACTCCATTCACATTCACATTCACATTCACATTCACATTCACATTCACATTCACATTCACATTCACATGAAGAAGATAGATTTGGAAACATAAGCATGTTTGAGGGGCTGCATGAAGTCAAACCAGGGGCCCTTAGGTGGATGATCATAGTCTGATATCCATTGATGAGACTAAACCTAGAGTCAGGGGACTAGACAGTGACTAAGGCTCTGCAGCTCAGCTCAGTCATTTCCCACAGTGACTTTCTATGGATGTCAGATGCTTCATGTTAATTAGTTCTCTGGTGAGCATTGAGATTAGGGATATAGCTCAGTGGTAGAGTGCTTGCTTAGCATACATGAGACCCTAGGTTCAATCCCTAGCATTGCAGAAGATGTAAAATAAATGAATAAAACAAGAATGTTGGATCCAGTGGCAGATGAGGGCCTTATCTCTGGAGAACCACAGAGGAGACCTCATCCCATCTCAGTAGTCTGGTGGTGGGAGGATGTGCAGGATCCTAGGGATGAAGTAGTCACTCTGTGACCACGTGACATTTTTGGTGTGTTGTAGAGCTTGTGCAGATCCACAGTAAACAGGTATGATAGGAAAAGGGGTTATATTTAATGTGTGTCTGTGTGTGTATAGTATATATGTACAGGTGCACTTGCCCTGGGAGGCCAGAAGGTGTCAGATCCCCTGGAGCTGGCGTTATGGGCAATTGTGAGTGATCCTATGTGGGTGCTGGGAACCTAACTCTATTCCTCTGGAAGAGCAGCAAGCTCTCTTAACCACTGAGCCATCTCTCTAGCCCCATGTCACTATGTCTTATACACACCAGTGGTTTCTATGTTTCTGGATTTCATTAACCACTCAAACCCACCTCTGACCCAAATCTGGAAAATCTATACAGGATTTCTGAGTGTGGGGAGATTATTCTTCTGTTTAAAAAATCACGTGGCTTTTTATACGTGACAAAACTGCATTCCCATCCTATTTTTCGCTAGAGTGTGCTTTTAGTGCACACTTGGATTGCTTAGAACACTTTCTAGTCTGTCAAAAAAAGCTTCCCCAGGGCTGGTGATAAGGCTCAGGAAGCAATTGCCACCAAGCCTGATGACCTGAGTTTGATCCCTGGGACCCACATGGTAGAAGGAGAAAACTGACTCTGTAAGTTGTCCTCTGGGCTCCACACATGCACAGACACACACATACACATCAATAAATGTTATTTTATTTATTATTTATTTTTTGGTCTTTTTGAGACAGGGTCTCCTTGTAGCTCCAGCTGTCCTGGAACTCATTATGTAGACCAGGCTGGCCTTAAACTCAAAGAGATCAGCCTGCCTCTGCCTCCCAAGTGCTGGGATTAAAGGTGTGTGTCACCATGCCCTGCAATAAATGTTATTTTAAAAAAGATTTCTCCTGGGGGCTGGAGAGATGGCTCAGCGGTTAAGAACACTGCTTGTTCTTGCAGAAGACCCGGGTTCCAATCCCAGCACCCACGTGGCAGCTAACAACTGTCTGTAACTCCAGTTCCAGGGGATCCGATGGCCTCTTCTGTCCTTGTGGGCATTGCATGACACGGGTGCACTTACCTATATGCAAGCAATACACTCATACACATAAAAATAAAAATAATAAATAATTTCATATGTAAAAAGACCTTTGCTGAGTAACCTGCAGCCATCTGCCCCCAACCCTGAGCCCATCCTTTTATTTTTATTTGCTTATTGATTTAATTAATTAATTTTTATTTTTATGTGTATAAGTATTTTGCCTACATGTATATAAGTGCGCCTGTGGGTGCAATGCCTACAGAGGCCAGAAGAGAGAATCATATCCCCTGGAACTGGAGTTATGGATGGTTATTAGCGGCTGTGTAGATAATCAAACCCAGGTCCTCTGCAAAAGCAGCCAGTGCTCTTAACCACTGAGTCATCTCTAGTCCATACCAAAGTCTTGCTTAAGAAAAGATGGGTTATAAATGGTAAAAGAAGAGTTATAAAAGGGAAGAGTGGAGTGAGCTCATTGCATAGCTGTCTTTGTGCATTTAGAAAATGTTCTGTTGAAAGGCATGTCAGTGCCAGGGCGAACAGCCCCAGATTTCTCCAGCAAAGCAGCATGAAGCTTCACTTTGTGGCTCACACAGAGGATGAAATTCATAATTTTGTGTTCTCTGAGCCAGAACTTGTTGCATACACTTAAAAATGTTTTTCTCGTGTTGCCAACATCGATCTTTCCCCCCTTGGGCAGAGTGTCAAGCCAGCTCTCCTGGTTGTCCAGCCATTGGTTCATGGTCATGATGTCCCTGTATCTGCTGCTACTGCTCATCGTGAGTGTCACCAACTCCTCCACTTTCCATCACTTCTGGAATCGCGTGATGAGATAATCCTCAAGAGCCTGGAGTGGGGGCCACTTACCTGTGTGCCTTATTGGAAGCTTGTTCTCTACCTCCTGTGTCTCACATCCATCCAGGTTGAGTCTGGGGACCAGTTGTAGGGGTAGGAGCACAGGATACTTTTCATATGCCATAAATGCACTGATTGCCTTTGATGATGTACCCAGCCACAGTCCAGACAGTGGGGATCCCTGGTTCCTACTTGTTGGTTTCAGGGCAGTCTCCAGCTGCTTCTTCCTAAACAGCCCTAGGGAGGTGTCTCTTCAGCCACAGCCAAAGGAAAAAGTCCTGCTGCTTTTAAAAGCAAAGGGTCCAAGCTGTCGGTGGTGTGTTTACAATCATTCTGATGGAGGCTGGCCCTTTCTCTGATGCCTTCCAGAAGACAGAACATGTGTAGTGGGGACTGTAAATCATTAGGCGGTTGCCTTGTTTTGACTCGAGACACCCAAGAAAGACAGTTGTGTTTCTCGTAAAAATCAGTGGAATTGTTTGGGGATTCCATCAGCTTTAGTCTGGGAGTGCAAAACATTTTTTAACAGTTTTCTCAAATCAACAAACGGCCTTCTGCTACAGCTGCACCTCCTTTCCTTCTTTACACGCAAGAGAAAGGAGTCACAGGCCAGATAACAAAACATGGACTTATCAACCAGCAACTCAAGTTGGCTTTTTCTAAAAAATTACCAACTGCTGATTACAGCTGAAATAGAACCAATTTTTTTTTTTTTTTTAAATAGCCGTTTGACAAATTAGCCTTTGTGAGCTGAATAAAAGGGGGGAATTTTTAAATCTAGAGCACCAAGCCACAGCTTCTTTCCTGGCTGTGTTTATCAGGAGAGGGATCTGAGCCACAGGTACTCTCTGGTCCTCATTCTCACAAAGCTGCCTTGATTATGGTCTGCCCGCCACAGATACACACTCTAGGCCTTTAGTGGACTGCTGGCTTTCAAAACAGAGGTCTGCCTCAGTAGGCTGCAGATCCATATGGATTGAGCCTCCCTTAGAGAAGTCATATGTAATCTTTGGGACTCAGCCTGCGCTTTAATGTGAAGGAAAAACCTCTGATCACCCAGAGAGCCCCAACTGTGCTGTCCTTGTATTCTTTGCTCCCTCCTTCCTGCTGGGTTCAACCAGGAAAGATCCCTGTTGAATTTGGGGATGAGATTTCCAGAAAGAAGGAGAAAATCATTTTTCTACACTTTGTAAAGTTGTGAAAAAACCCACCATTATGGTTTTTAAATCAAATAGTGGAACATTTAAAAAATAATAAAGATATTTTCCTAAATGCTAAGTTGTCTCTGTGAGTACCTACAGCCTCTACTCAAGTCAGCTGTGTGTACTCAGTTAATAAAAATCTTACCTTTTTTCCTTCTTCAAGGTGGCCATTTGCTGCAGTGTTACCAGGATATCTAATAGGTGGGACTTGTAGTCATTCACCTCAGAAACCTAAGCACCTAGTGTATGCTATGCACAGGAATACAAACAGTTTCAAAGACAAAGCCCCTGCCCCAAGGAGCTGGCAGTGTGACAGTGTGGGACCATGGACAAGCATTTCAGGGGAAGTCTAATCCTATGATGTTATAGTTTTGGGAAATACTTGGCAAAGAGACCTAATGTGGTCTGGGGTCAGGAGCTGATACCTGTAGCAATATAAGATACATTATGTGCACTGATTAATCTTTGGAACAGGGTCTTGTCCACTTTGGGATCTGAAGTCCTAGAGAGTTTAATAGTTTATCCAAGAAATCCAATAGCTTATGGATTTCTCATATCCATCCTGGGGGAGCTTGGGATGTAGGTCAGGTGGTAGAGTGCTTGCCTAGCATGCATGAAGCCCTGGGTTCTATCCCCAGCACTACATCAAACCAGGCACCTGTACTCCCAGCATTGGGAGATGGAGGCAGGAGGATCAGACATTCAATGTCATTCTTAGGTAGTCTAAGCTTTATGAGATTTTTGATGTCTCAAAAATACATCATAACCAACCTGTGTTGGTGTTCTTAAAACACCTGACATAAACATCTTAAGGAAAGAAGGGTTTATTGGAACTCACAGTTTCAGAGGTTTGGGATCATTATAGCATGGTGGGAAAGGTGTGTCTATGGAGAGTAGTTAACACTGTGAAGACCAGGAAACACACACACACACACACACACACACACACACACACACACAGAGGCACAGTGAAAAGGGTCTGAGATAAGATAAAACCCTAAAACGGGCTTGGAGAGATGGCTCAGCGGTTAAGAGCACTGACTGCTCTTACAGAGGACCCGGGCTCGACTCCCAGCACCCACATGGTGGCTACGAACCGTCCTTAACTCCAGTTTCAGGGGACTCCGAAGCTCTCTTCTGACCTCCGCAGCATTGCACGATATGGGTGCACTCACATACATGCAGGCAATACACTCATACACATAAAATTAAAATAATAAAATATTTTTTAAAAATCCTAAAACATATCCCACTGATCTTCCTCCAACTAAGCCTCACCTCTTAAAGTTTTCCAAACCTCCCAAAATAGCACCGCCAGCTGAGGACCAAGAAACTGAATATACAGGACTATGAGGGATATACCCATATTCAAACTAGAATACACTCTTCACCTTCCTCTGAAAACATAAAGGTGGCACTAGGTGCAACCTCCAACTGAAACAGGGATCAGTGTAAGTAAGCCAAGAGAAAGAGGAAAAGTGCTTCAGCAAGTGGGAACAGGCAGAAAGCTAGAGTTCTCAGAGAAAAAAAGAGAAGGCTGAAGAAACAGGTGTTGGTGAAGAACTGAGCTAAGGAGGTGGGCAGAGGAAAGCCATAGGAGGGCTTTCATTTTTTCAATATTGTATTTTTAATTTTTATTTTATGTGTATGAGTATATTGCCTGGGTCTCTTGCAAGAACAGCCAGTGCTCTTAACCACTGAGCTGTCTGTCCCCTAGCCCATTTTTGTTTTTGAGATAGGGTCTCATATAGCCCAGGTTGGCCTTGAACTTGCTATAGCTAAGGATGACCATTCTCCTGCCCCTGCCTCCTGAGTGCTGGGATGACAGGCCAGCACCATCAGGTTTTGTTTTAAGCTTTTCTGTGTGTTTTGAACCTGGGGCCTTGTTCATGCTAGATAAGCACTCTGTCACAGAGCTATATCCCCAGCCTTCCTCTTCTGAGTTTAAAAGAAATTACATTTCTGTACTCTGAGCCTTGGGCACTGTGCTTAGTTTGTCTAGTGGGTGCATCAGCCCTGGTCTAGGGTCATGGGAGGTAGTGTGAGACCTCTGGGATCCTGGAAATGGACAGGCAGGAAGAAGACAAATCCTAACTATATTCAGTACCAACCCTAAATCTAAGGCAGATCCCATAGGACCAGAGATTTTAAGAAAGGGCAAGCTGGGGGCCTTGGGGTAGGGGGCTCAGGAAGAGGAGGAGGCTGTCTCTGTCTAATGTGCCCATTGGGGTGGGAGCATACACAGCACAGACAGTTGATGGCAGAAGAGGTCAAATGGGGTTTCAGGCAGTACCACCTTACACTGAGGCCCCTGCTGCCTTGGCCTTGTGAAAAGCAAGCTGTCAACTCTGTCAACTAAGGTCATTGTTGGGGTACAGCTTTGGAAGAGGTAGTAAGTGGGCCTCCCATAGGTAAGAAGCTGGCTGGGAGGGACTGAGGATGCTGTGAACCACCAGTTTCCTCCAAGAAGGGAAGTGAGTTTTCTCTGGGGTTTGGGATAAGTATAGATGCACAGAAATGAGAGAGTAGTGGATGTGATTCAGTGTTGCTTCTGATTAATTCATCCATTAAATCTAATTACCTTCCAAGCTAGGGGGTGGGCATGGAGAGTTGATTTAAAGAGCCTAATTCAGGTGTTTTTCTTTATAACATGGCGGAATTGCATCTGTGCCCATCCATGGTTAAGCCCAGGAGGTTTGTGTTGGCATGGAATCTGCCACAGCCTCCCTGTTGCCATGGCGACTCTTTGACCCCCCCCCCTTGGTTGGACTCAGTTCTTCACACACAAACAGGACCACACCCCTCCCCAAACTCCTCCACTCTCTCCTCCCTCCCTCCCCACATTACCCCTCCCAACCTGGTTTTCCAGTGTCTTGGCCTTTGTTTGTTTTTGCCTTTGTCAGTCCATTCCCCCCTCCCCACCCCAGGATGGGTTTCTGTTTGTTTCCTAACTGTCTGGGACTGTGTACCATGGAGACAGTGTCCTGGGCTGCCTCTAGCTCTAATCTGGTTAGAATGAGCCCCTTTCCTTTGCGTGCATCTCCAACCTGATGTTCAGAACATCCATAACAAATCCTGATGTTCCAGAACAAGATAGAAACCACTGCCTCCACCCACTCTGTTGGCACCCTTGACCACCTGGAAAGGGATTTTTGAAAAATTCCAATGTTCTGTTTCCAGTGTCATGTACAAAACGGAAGGCCGCATTTACTGAGTATTTTATTATACCCACTGCTGACCTGGGCTTTGTATGAAAAACCTTGTGGTGAAGTTGATGTTCCTGTATTAATTCAACTGCAAGCTTCCTGACGACAGGGCCTAGACCATTCCCATATATATCCATTTGTTTCAGATGGTGGGTGCTCAAGAGAAGTTTGTTGAGTGAATAAATGGATTAATGGATACAAGGGAACACCTCCCTCCATAGCAAAGACTGATGGTTGAATGTCAGTAAATGGGATTGAAATTAGACCTGGGGAGAAAATGAGGCAGGGTGGGTGGGTGAGGGTTGATTGGTTTCAGGGAATCCCACTTGCCTGGTCACCAGAAGTACTAACCTTTGGGGTTAGTGAGGTGGGCAGGACAGAGCAGCATTGTGTTTCATTTAAAATGCAAATGGTACTGGGAGATTGAAAACTATTGATTTTGATATATTCATACACATGGATCTATGACAGATAGCAAAGCCTTTTCAGTTAGATGTAATATTTATGTCCGTAATCCCAGCACCGAGGAGATTGAAGCAGGAGGATTGCCATAAATTTGAGGTCAGCCTTTTGTATATGTGCTGGATAGCTTTAGTGTCAACTTGACACACCTGGGTTGTAGGGAGCCTCAATTGGGGAATTTCCTGCATTGGAATGGCCTGTGGCCATGTCTGTGGGGCATTTTCTTGATTGTCGAGAGATGTGGGAGGGCCCAGCCCACTGTGGGTAGTGCCACCTCTGGGCAGGTGGGCCTGTGTTGGATAAGAGAGCAAGCTGAGCAGGGGCCAGGGGAGAAAGCCAGTAAGCAGTGTTCCTCCATGGCCTGCACTCCAGCTCTTGACTCCAGGTTCCTGCCCTGAATTCCTACCTGGGAATTCCTACCTGATGAACTGTGACCTGAGAGATATAAGACAAATAAACCCTTTCCTCCCCAAGTTGGTAGAGTGTTTTGTCACAGCAGTGGAGAAACAAACTAGGACAGTACACATCTAGTGAGTTCTAGGTTAACTTGGACTGTAGTATGAGACCATCTCGAACCAAAACCAAAAAAACTAAAATCCAAGAAACCTAAAACCAAAACAAAGCCTTTTCTAAGAACAGGTTTTTAGCAATGAGTTGGGAATTGATGACAAACAATTGGAGATTCACAGGCCAAGGGAGCTTCAGTTAAATCAGAAGGTGGAGCCACTGGAGTTTGACTTGCTCTATCTGCATTTAGCCAAAAGGGAACAATGAAAACAGCATGTGATGCCTCCAGGCCCTTCCAGCCAGCCTCAGTGACATTGGTAATGGCAGTCTAACTGGAAGGGCAGGAGGGAGCCAAGGCCAGTCTGAATTACTGGCAGTATAGATTTCAGACTAGCCTAAAGATGTGTTTTAGTGTTCTCACAGGCCATCACAAGGGTGTCTATCCATATGTACTGTCGCCAGACATTCGTTGGGCTTCAGTAGTTTTATTTTTATTATTTTTAAAGATTTGTTATTAATTACATATATGTGTGTGTCTATGTGGGATATGTGCATGTATGTGTAGGTACCTTCTGAGGTTGGAGTTACAGGTGGTTGTGAGCTGCCCAACATGGGTGTTGAGAGCCATACTAGGTCCTCGGGAAGAATGGTATATGAGCTTAACCACTGAGATATCTCTTAGTCCCCAATTACAGTTTTAAAGGAGTCAAGGGTGCTTGGAAAGTCTCATCCTCTGAGTTCTTTGATCCCTCATTTCCTCTGGTTCAGGCCACCCGTTCTTGGTTGCCTAGGGTCCAGTTACCTTCCTGGTACTATATTCTGGCTTCCTCTCTGGGGAACCAACCGTGCTTCCCACTCTCCCTGGATCCTGGTAAAGCAGGCTGACTACCCTTCCATCTAC